GTACAAATTTGAAATTTGGTCTAGCAGAATATTCGAGTGCTCAATACAACAATAATACACAAGCCAACAAAAATTTGTGTATATAGGCAATAAGCCTATTAATCACTTCAAATTAAATTCGTAGCACTGTAATGCCTTTAGCGTACGTAAATCTTTATTTTTATTTTTAAATATTTAACAAAACAAAAAACCTGCTGCATGTTTGAGAGATTAGAAAGGTCACTTTCATCAACACTTGTCACTGCCGAGGCATACCGTTCCCAAAAGAGACGTCAAATCAAAGACAAAAAGTGTATGCACTTAGTTTTCATTTTATTTTATTTTTTTAAAAAAAAGCTAAAGGTCATCCAGTGAATGTCCCCATTGGCTTTGGGAGTTCATTATCCGCTGAAAGCAACTTCCAATTTCTTGAATTCTTTTTTTCCTTTTGAAATTCCCACTTTCATTAATTTTACGTTGACAAACTCAATTTAAGTAGTGCCAAGAGATTGCGCAGTGTGGACGGTGGCTCTTTCAAAAGGTAAATCTTTGTTGGTCTAGGTGCTGGAAGTTGTTCTTAAAGAGATGAACATTTCTTTGTGAACTCAAGAGTTCAAAGTTATATGTACCTTTTTGACATATTATGCATACAATTCTTAGCATCTTTCACAATTTCGACTATAATAAAATCAAACATGACTTGGATTCTACGTTCACACCTAAGTCACTCTCATTTTGAACGTTGAAAATTGCAACCACTTTCGGTCGCCCAAGTTCATTGAATACATAAAGGCTTTGCTTCTTTTTTATTAACATGAAATTTATATTTGTATCATTGTATTAAAAAATGATGATATATTTATTTTACTTATATGATCAATGAATTATTATCTTTTATCAAAAATAAATAAAAATTTTAGAGTCACCATGACTTGACAGCATTGATCAAACTAATCATTTGTTATTTGTAATATACTCCTTATGTTTTAAAGAAATTGTTAAGCTTGATTTTTCACACATATTTAAAATGTTATTAATTGTTATGTCATGTGATTATTTTTTATTCATCTTTTTAAAAATATTCTCTTTTTAATAATAGATCGCTTATAGATAGATTTTAATTAAAAATATTATCTTGAAATATATGAGTTGTGTTTTTTGACTAAACAATTATTTTCCAACAACAAAAAATAGAAAACATGAGAATTTTTTTTTTTAATGACAAAAGGAATAATAAAAGTTGGATCTTCATTATATAGATAATGACCGAAAAAATGAACTTCAAATGTTTTGGTACAGGCCAACGATGCATTAATTCACTGACGAAGAACCTAAAATTCTAGTCAATTAAGTGATCTAGATTTGAATACCTCCGGCATACCGAATCAAAGACTATTATATTTAGTATCTTTCATGAGAATGTTGGAATGCAATTCATTACCTGGTCAACTTGATTCCTCGCTTAATTAAAATTTTTATTATTCATTATCTAGCCGGGTAAAGAATCATAAAAACTATTTTTTCGTAATAAATAGAAATTATCACATCGTGATGAATGATACAGAAATATATTTTGATATTTCATCATTTCCCTTTTCAGGTGGGGTACAATGATGTCTCAAAAGAGAAATAAAAATAATGCAATTATTAGCAATAATGACTAAAAGTGAAGATTGTAGAAAGACATGCGACTACGAAACCAATAACTTGAATGATTAGGATAAAGTTGGTGTAGGGAACAAAATTGCCAGTGAGTGGTCCTTAATTTGGTTTCTTGCTTGTTAGGTATCCATCAACGAAAATCAAATGTTGGATTCAAATTGCGGGTCCATTGGGCACATATGATACTGACAAGTGTCCTACTAATTTATAGACCCCCCATGGCTAACTGGGACCGTTGATTTACTCCTTTACAGCAGGCCCCTTTAGACCGTAGTCAATCCCTCATTTATTTATTTTTTTTATAACAAGGTATAAATTATAACACTCTACCCTAGGACATAAGGAGGTCTAAGATATTATAGATATTGGCATACATTCAAAGTGTAATAAATACAAGTGTCATCCCTAAACATTTTCAATTCATTGATTAAATAGGCAATTTTTTTTTACGAAATCCCGAAATAATAGATCCATATTAAATAAAATATATGTATTAAGTTTTTCAAAAAATTCAACCAATTTCAATTAATTTTCATATATTATGCATAAAAATATTAAATGTCATATTTTGGTTAAAAATACATATCCTTAAAATCCAAAATAATCATTTAAATAAAATTCCTAACGTTAAAATAAGTTGAAATATGTCTCTAATATTTCTTAAATTTCTTTTACAAATTCATATAAAATTTAATTTAGGAATATTTCATTTTCAAAGATCCTACACAATAAGGTAGGATTATTTGATATTGATTTTACTTCAAAAATAATTGAATCATCAAGTATTACATTTAATTAGAAAATAATACATAAATAGTAACCATTAAATCGGGATTTAATACTATTATTTTCATAAAAATTTCATAGGCTAAGAAATTATTCAAAAAATTCAATAAAGCATTTGATAAATTCATTTAAACCTTTAACTAATATTTTGACCATTTAAAATATTTTTTGGATCGAAGTAACTTTGGTTCCTAATTTATTTTAAACTAGCTAATTACATAAATTTATTCTTTAACCATTAATTTCCTTTTAAGTCTTAACCATACTACCCTTTTTGTCATGCCCCTTCTTAATTCCTTACTTTCTATCCTTAATTCATTAGATATTCACTATAACAAATTTGAAATTAAGCTACGAAACAAATCATCCTCAAATAATTAAAATTCATCAACGAAAACATTTTGGGATGCAAAGCTAAATCGTCCCAAAAGCTATGTAGGTAATTATATTTCCGGATGCAAAGTAAAAATCGTCCCTAAAGGATTTTATTGTAGACGAATATGATTTTCGTCCATGAATGTTGAACATTTGTGAAAAATTATTTTCGTCTTAGAATGTATCTATATTCGTCCGTAATTAGTCAATTTCATTTGCAATTATGAAAGATTTGAGCGGGGGATAACATTTTTGTTGACGAAACAAATTCGTCGGCAAATGTAACTATAAAATGGTGATGAAACATTTCATCCGCAATGAATTTTTTTAGGACGATAAATTTCCTCCCCGGTTTATCATACATATACAATTGCATGCGATTTTTGTACACGACAAATTTCATCCCCGATTTACCTTAATTGGGGATGATAATTTCATCCTTGATTGCTTGCTTTTTTTTTTTTTTTATAGCAAATTTTGTCATTGATTTGCTTGTATTTTGGAATGTTTAGATTACGTTCCTAATTGCATGTATTTTATGATATATATTTGATCCTTGGTTGCCTTTTTTTGTTAGCGAGTAAATTTTTTATTTGCCCATGTTAAATTATGGAGCATGAACCCACTAAGATATCGGTGAGGAAACGAAAGAAAGGAACCAAAACATGCATAAACAAAGAAATATATAGTGTATGCTTACATTGCTTACATTATGAAAAGTCTTCAATATGTTAAAAACAAGCACATATCAAAAGTTTAGAAAAAAGTTGTTCTACGAAAAAATTCAAACAGGAACTAAGTTGTTCTAGTAGCTAGATATTGTTTGCTACTAAATTTAAATTAAACATAGCTAAAAAAGCAAAAGCTAACCTTAAAAGTTACTCCACTTCATCCTTATGCATTTGATGATCTGCATAAAAAATAATATATATATATATATATATATATATATATATATATATATTATTTTTTACTATGTAAATCAAACAACACTTATCTAATCAAATATTTAACCATTAAAAATGATTTAAGTTGTATAGGTTACCCCGAAATATATATATATATATATTATTTTTTACTATGTAAATCAAACAACACTTATCTAATCAAATATTTAACCATTAAAAATGATTTAAGTTGTATAGGTTACCCCGAAATATTGGTAGATGGATGGCGTCCTATTGCAAAAAACATCTCCAACATCTTTTCTTGTCGTTCCAAACGAGTAGTGGGATCCTCAACTTTATCATTAGTTTCTCAAGATTCTTTAAGAGATTCAACAAGCTTCTTAATTTAAAGGTTGGAGCTGCTCACTTTGCTCTTTGGCTTTGGACCATATCCAAGTCCTTGAGTTAACTTGATCGAGTTCCAAGAACTTCATCACAAACTTCATCGATACTTAATGGCTTGTCTTCGGATATAGACTTTTCCATCAATTCGATCATAGAATTCGAGTAGCAAAAGTGAATAAACATTTGATTAAATTTTGAGTAAAAATTTAATTGAAGGAGTATGTCCAAGTGAAAAAGAATGACTTGATGATCATAAGTACGTAAAGTGAGAAATAATCAAAACCTAATCGGTGATCAAAAGTGCTCTTTAGATATAGACCAATTTGTTTAATATTTGTTGAAAACATTTCTAGAAATTCGAGTGCCTATGACATCCTCATGCAATCTAATCGAGTGCACCTTAAGGTTCCAAGTGGTGAAGAATGAGAACAAAAACACTAAACACTTACATATTTAGATTCAGACCTCCGAATTTGACCAACCCTTCCCTTCCTTATAATGAGTACGTTTGAAAAAGAAAACCCTATCACATTCTTCACTCGTTGTTCTTCTCCTTCTTATCTCATAGATACCAAACATGATTATTGTGAGATCAAAGTATAATGACATTGGAAAATGAAAACATAATTGATCTACATTATTATACGGACTTTGCTTACAATTTCATTTTGAACAACAACAAAAGCCATTAATCCGTGGTTGTGTGGCAACTTTAACTTGCTTTGATTTTTAGTATTTTTAACACATCCGGCCTATGAAGGCAAATAATAAAAAAAAATGGTTACTTTCGGTCCCATCGTGAAAGCCTTGCACTCTAGGCGAGCCTACCGCAAGCCGAGCATATATGGTTGCGGTGAGCCGAGCAAGCTCGTCTGCTAGCCAACACCCATGCTTGTTACGAGCTAGGCGGGCACATTGGCTCGCGGTAGGCTTAGGCACGGGCTCGTAACAAGCTTAGGCGCCGGCCGCTATGAGCCAATGCGCTTGCACGGCTCACAACAAGTAGGGCATGCTTGCGTGCCGACTTACAACGAGCCTATACGTTGGCTCGCGGTAGGCCTACTTTGAGCATCGAAAGGTCACAAATCATTCAAATCTAATTGCATTAAAAGATTATACAGTATTAGATAATGTATGCATTAACTCCATCATATCGATTAAAGATGTATGCATCTTTTAATATCTACCTTAACACTTGGATTAGCCTAATAATTACAAAGTGCTTTCCAATTATCTTCCGTCAAGTACTTGATGTCGGGTTTATTTTCTTTTGCCTCCTTAACCGAGTTGAACTTCTTAAAATGTTTGTGCAAGAGATACCGTGCATTCCTAGATCGATTCTTCAACAAGTCTTTAATTTTTTTCTTTAACAAAGCCATCATTTATATCTTTCACTTCCATATCATTTGAATAATTTGAAAAAAATAAAAAGAATATCATATTAGAGCCGGGAATTCGGTTAATGGATCTCTTTAAAACCTAATTTCGGATTAGATCAAAAGAGGTCTTACATCAAGGTTATCCAATACACGTTTGAAATCTGCTACACTCATGTCCTTCCATTTAGTTGGCACGAGAATACATTATCGAGAAATGAATCCTAATTGATTTGATAACTTGGTGGATTGAGTCCTATTAAGTGGTCTTTTCATATCCATGTCAATATTAACTTTCGAGCTTTTATCCAACTGATTTGTTCAACTTTTGTTATCCTTTACCTCTTGTGCCCCTATGTTTTGTTTTGATTAAGTTTGAAGCTACAATGATCGAGAAAAAGTTAAACAATTTATGTAAAATGTAAGTAATAAAACAATATATACTTACAAACAATTGATAATAATCTACATATATAACCTAAACTCGCTAATTGGAGTAGGCAAATTGGCGGCGTCACTATCCGATGTTGGGATAGGAATGGGAGGAGGCGGCGTTTGTTCATTTTAGGAACATCTTATGGATTGGTTGCTGAAATATTAGTTGAAGAAGATGGACCATTAACGAGTTAGTTGTGAAGGACTAGTTGGTGAAGCAGTTCGTAGTTTTAGATGCTTTAGTGCGAGGTCATAACACCGAAACCATCATATGACACACCTAATGAACAACATAGCATAGAGAATCCTAGTTAAGCAAGAACCATTAAAGAATAATTAATCATTAATTTAAAATGATAAACCAATTGAAAAAAAACAATTGTAATCACATGAATTATCAATCATCAAAATCATCAAAGCAAAGGTTTTCCTCATCACTACAATAATTAAGTAAAGTATCATCCTTTTCTTCACTTTGATCGGAAACAAAGTCATCATCTTCTTGCATCACTTTTTTGCTACATTCAATAACATTGGCTTCTATAACTTATGAGTCCGCATCATCTCTATATAATAAAGCTATATTTGAATCTAGAATAATATCAACATTTACACTATCTTGTATTTTATTTTCTTGATATACTTCATCATTGAAGACTAATAATTCATCTTCATCCCTTATTTGACTTGGTAACATTGGCATATCAAACACATGCCTATGTTGAAATTGTTGAACAAATCGCCAATTATGTCCTAATTTTATGTCGTCAACATAGAAAATTTGTTTAACTTGAGAAGCTAACACATAAGGCTCATCTTCATACCAAGTTCAAGAAACATTGACACTTGTAAAATTACCATCTACATGTATGCTTGCTTTTTTTTCTCCTACTAAGATCAAACCACTCATATTTAAAAAGCACAACTCGTCTATCTTTTATGTAGTCCAACTCTATAATATCGGTAAGCACCCCATAAAAAGTGACAATATTGTCACAATGATTTGCTTCTACTACCACCTCGCTATTTTGGCTTTTAAGTCGTGCATCATGATTCTTGGTATGAAACCTAACCCCATTAATGATGCAACTATTATATTTCTTTACATTAACTTGAGGTCCGTATGCTAACGAATATAATGCCTCACTTGCTTCTTGTGATTGGTCATTATATAAACGCATCATCTATAAGACAAAGGAATTAAGGTAATGTGAGATGATGCAACAAAAAAATTATTATACAAGTTTTAATTTTTTTTTAATTTGGTCCTTACGTGTTGTTGAAACCACAAAGAGAACTTTTCTTTATGTCTTTCTTCCACATCTAATTCACTTTCTTGCATAAGCTCTTCTATATGGCAACTAAGAAAATTATTGCATGTCAATGGTGAGTAATTGTTTAACATCTAAATAAAATTTGATAATTTAACAACATTTCAAGTTGACTTACTCCATATATGGTTCCACTTCTACACAATTGTTTAAGATATACCAATGACATATTTGAAGCTCTTTTATTGGAATATTAACATATTTTACAGCTCTAAATGGTTGAAGCCTATGTGAAAAAATGGGCAAACCATCGTCTCCTAAAACATAAAAATTGTGTTCTAGTCTATTGAATTGGGTTTCAATTCCATGAAGATACATTGAACAAAAAGTTAAACATTCTCCGACGATATAGGCCTCGAGCAATTGAACCTTCTAGATAAGCTTTGTTACACAGTTCTTTTGAAAGACCCCAAACGTCTACCATAAATAATCATACATAAGAATTATTATTATAAGTAATTTCACAAGTCAAGAAAAAAACTCTTAGGCAAGTAATTTCTCACCACTCAATAGGAAACATCCATCTAAATTAAATCGAACCTCCAAGAATAGCCTCGTATGGTAAATGAACCGCCAAATGCACCATTACATCAAAAAAGCTGGAGGAAATATTATTTCAAGTTTGCAAAGTATTGAAACAATATTTGTTCTCATTGATAAGCTGTCTTCTAATCTATAAACTTTAGGCAAGTGCACCTATCATTCTATAGTACAGATTGATAGAGTATCGAGCGTCTATCCCATGTAGACTATGAGTACTAGTAATCACCCTCTTTTTATTATCTAACCGATAATGCATAGTGATACTGAACAATTAAAAGAAACAATAACTAAAGTGAGATCATAGAAATGCAACAAGAATAACAAAAATAGCTAACCAAGCAATCATTGGTAAAGACAGTACCCAAATAACGAATCCCCTAAAACCTTCTATTTAATCACAATATCATTCATTCAATCATTCTTTATGTTCATCGAACTCGTAGGAATTCCTAAATTATGCTTACTACTTTCTCAAGTTAACTAACACCTAATCCCAAGTTGATTAATCGAAATCTCTTTCTAATTAACACCCTTAGGATCGCATTTATTCATTCTCGTGAATTCCCTTATTAGATTTAACTCTAATCCGAAAGATTTACGTCGTTATATCTCTAGGATTACATCCAATTCTTTTCAGTTATGGTTGATCTAATCACACTTAGTATGAAATCGGTATGAATCAACACGCTAGCATATGGTAATTCAATTAAATAATAATTACAACATAACCGAATCACAACAAAAATAAAGATCGAATTGAATAAAGATATTAGATCACATAGTCAATCTTAGGGTTCATCATATCTAGGTACTAATATAATCTAGTTCATAGTCAAAGTGAAGAACACATAAATTCTAAATAGAGAACAATAAATATTTAGGAAAAACATTATAACCCCTTAAATCTTAATGCAATATCCTCAATAATCGATGGGAAACCACTCCATTGGTGTTATTTTACTCAAAACCCGAGCTTTTCTCATACCCCTCGGTTGTGTTTCTATCTCTCCAAGTCGGCCTAAAACCCTAGGTCTTGTTTCGACCAATCCTTTATGTGATGCTCTATGGTCTTCTCTAGAATCCTTTTTAGTTCCCTATTAACTACTTTAACTTGGCCACTAGTTTATGAATGATAAGGTGTAGCAACTCTATGTGTAACACCATACTTCATAAGCACTCTAGAAAATTATGTATTACAAAAGTGCATGCCCTTATCACTTATAATTGCCTTAAGTGAACCAAATCATGAAAACGACTTTTTAAGAAACATTACCAATACCTTAGCATCATTAGTGGGTAAAGCCCGAGCTTCAACCCATTTAGACACATAATCAATTACAACAAGAATATATTTATTACCATTCGAAACCCCAAAAATAAAAAATTTCACATACCAATATATAATTTTGGGGTATTTCTTCACGGTGAGAGATGTTACTCGATCGTTGACCATTATCACAAAATTTCACATACCTTTAGGCATCTTGAAATAATGTAGGGCAATAAAAACCTAACTCAAACACTTTTTGACCTATCCTATTTGCGTACTAGTGTCCATCGGTAGGTCCTAAATAGTAGTGACCTAGGATTTTCCATCCCTCCGAGTAGGACATATATCTCCTAATAATCTAGTCCGTATAAATCTTGAACAAATATGGATCCTCCTAAAGATAATTCTTCAACTTAGAAAAGAATTTTTCTTTTGCTAATGAGTGAGTCCCTTAGAAAGGATCTTAGTAGCCAAATAATTAGTGATATTAGCAAACCAAGGGGTTTCAAGATTACATATCCGTTCAATGCTTGTAGAGGCGCTCCTCTAGGAATGTATCATTGATTTCCTCTTCATCAAGTTTTTCCAAATGAGGGTTCTTTAATTGGGATAGGTGATTTGCTTGTCAAGTTCTCAATTCCATTTTTATCTTTGATTTCGAAATCAAATTCTTGCAATAACTAGATCCACATAATCAACCTAGATTTAGCATATGGCTTGTTCAACAAATATCTCAATTCGGAATGGTCAATTAAACAACAACCTTGGACAAAATTAAATAAGTTCTAAATTTATCAAAAGTAAAAACTATAGCTAGCAATTCTTTTTCTATAGTAATATAATTCTCATGTGCGTAAGTCAAATTTTTGTTAGCATAGTAAATAGGTTAAAAATGCTTATCTTTACGCTAGCCAAGGATCGCACTAACTGCAAATTCACTAGCATCACACATTAGTTCAAAAGGAAGATTCCAATTCGGAGTAACCATTATTGAGGCGTTAATCAATAGTTCTTTCGCAGTGTTAAAAGCATCTAAACACTCTTTAGTGAAAAAAAAAGGCACATCTTTCTCAAGCAACTTGGTTAAAGGCTTAACAATTTTAGAAAAGTCTTTTATGAATCTTCAATAAAAGCTTACATGACCCAAAAAACTTCTAATAGCCTTAATCGAAGTTGGGGTAGGTAGTTTTTCAATAGTTTTAATTTTTGGTCTATTTACCTCAATCCCCCTATAGGAGATTTTATGGCCTAAGACTATGCCCTCTTGCACCATGAAATGACATTTTTCCCGATTTAAAACCAAATTAGTTTCTTCACAACGTTCAAGCACTCTTTTCAAATTATGGAGACATAAATCAAAAGAATTACTAAAAAAAGAAAATCATCCATAAATACCTCCATTATGTCCTCCACTAGATCATCAAAAATGACCATCATGCACCTCCGGAACATAGCGAGTGCATTGCATAACCCGAACAACATCCTTCCGTAAGAGAACATACCATAGGGACATGTGAATGTAGCCTTTTCCCGGGCTTCGGAGCTATAGGGATTTGAAAGTAGCTCAAAAAACCATCTAAAAAGCGAGTAATACATGTGTCCCACTAGCATCTAATCAAAAAATGGGAGGGCAAAGTGGTCCTTCCTAGTGGAATCATTCGGTTTTCTATAGTCAATACACAATCTCCACTCGATGACCTGTTCTTGTTGGAATCGGCTCATTCTTTTCATTCGGGACCACCTGTCATCCTTTTTTTCTTTGGAACAACTCGCACAAGGCTCACCCAAGGATCTGTTAAAAATAGGGTAAATCACTCATGCATCAAGAAGTTTAATTACCTCGGCTTTTACGGCTTCCTTCATGTTTAGATTAAGCCTCCTTTGAGGTTGCACCATTGGCTTAAAATCATCCTCTATCAAATTTTTATGAGTGCAAAAAGAGGGTCTAATTCCTCTAATGTCTAAAATTTTCCAAGCAATAGCCCTATTATGCTCTCTAAGAACATTTAATAACTTTTCTTTTTGGTCCACCTTTAGCTTGGAAGAAATTATTACCGGTAACTTTGAATCTTTTTCAAGAAATGCATACTCTAAGTGTTCCGATAAAGTTTTCAATTTCAAGTTAGGTGGATCCTCAATATATGTTTTTAGTCTCATTTCTTTACCTCTCGTTAATATCCTCAAACGCCTTATTTCGAACCATGAACTTAGTAGCCTCTAGATGGGCTACTTGCTCAACTCTAATGGGATAATCTCCATCATCTTCCTTACCTTGAATAATACACAGCTCCAATGAGTCATCATATACAATTTCCCGCATAGATTTTGAAATTGCAATATCAACAACATCAATAAAATAACATTTTTCATCATGTTCAATGGAGTGTCTCATAGATTTAGATATAAGAAAAGTTACCTTTTCAACCCCGACCCTAAGAACAATTTTACAATCTCTAACATCAATAATGACTCTATTAGTAGCCAAAAATGGTCATCCTAGGATTAAAGGTACTTCTACATCCTCATCTATGTCAAGAATAATAAAGTCAATTAGGAAGATAAATTTATCTACCTTAACTAACACATCTTCAATTTTACCTCTAGGGTATTTGATAGATCCGTTTGCCGATTGTAAACTCATTCTTGCTGGTTTAGGTTCTCCTAACCCTAGTTTCTTAAACATTTTATAAGGCATTAAATTTATACTCGGGCCCAAGATTAGCTAATGCCTTTTCAACTAACAAACTACCAAATGAGCAAGGGATAGTAAAACTCCCTAGGTCTTGTAATTTTGGAGGTAGCTTGTTTTACATGATAGCGAGTGCACTCTTTACTTAATACCACTCGTTGATAACTCTTCTAGCTTCTTCTTGTTTGAAAGAAGTTATTTAAAAAATCTACCATACTTTGGCATCCGTGAAAGAGCCTTAATAAATGGTATATTTATATGCAGCTTTTTAAAAAGTTTAAGAAACTTCCCAAATTGTTCACCTATGCGGTCCTTCCGTAGCTTTGCAGGATATGGAATGGTAGGTTTGGACTCTTTCACTAGTTAAGGTTGTTTGTTAACTTTTTCCTACCCTTTATCCTTTTCAACTGTTTTCTCTTCCTCACATTTCTTCTCCTCCACCCTCAATTCCTTTCCACTTCTAAGGAAGATTGCCTTTACATGTTCTCCGGGATTAGTCTCGGTATTACAGTGCGACTACCTTGTTGTCTCTCAAAAAGGACTTAGCAAGTTGCCTAATTTATTTCTTAAGATTATGGATAAAAGCCTTTTAGTTTCTCAATGTTGTTTCGATTGCTTGAAAACAAGATTCGGATGTTTGAATGAACTTAGTCATAAGCTCTTTCAGATTGGGTTTCTTTTCCCGAGATGAGTTTTGCTCCTGGAATCTTGATGGGCAATCCTTACTCATATGTCATCCCTCACATAACTCACACTACATAACCTGAACCGGCTACTACACTACTCGATAAACCATCAATCTTCTTACTCGAGCCTCCACTCGAGTCGCCGGAGTTGTGACTACATCTACATAATAAACACCGACTGGTTTATTTGGTTTTTTTCTAGTTATGCTCCACTAGTAATTGTTCATAACCATTTGCTCTATTAATTCCTAAGCTACTTCGGGTGTTTTGTTATTTAGAGTGCCTCGAGCTCGTTGTATTTATTATCTACCTAGTAGCTAGATTCGATCCTATCGTAGAAAGTCCGAACTCGCATCCATGTAGGAAAGCCATGGTATGGGTATCTCCTCAATAAATTCTTAAACCGCTCCCAAGTTTCATAAAGTGTCTCGACTCAATTTGCATAAATAAGGAAATATCATTACTAAGCTTCATAGTCTTTGCAGGTGGAAAGTATTTTGCTAGGAACTTCTCCGTCATTTGGTTCCGAGTGGTGATAGATCCCTTAGGTAGAGAGTTCAACTACTCGCTTAGCTCTACTCCTTAGTGAGAATGGGAACAATCTCAATTTGAGCATTCGAGTCTTCATTTTGTAACCCATCAAACCGCACAACTCGTTGCACCGTTTGAATGATGTTCAGCTTGATCTCAAAATTATTAGCTACAACAATTGGTTTGATAATGCTAGACTGCGTTCCTGTCAAGTTTGGTCTAGCATAGTCAAACATGGTTCTCTCTTCCTCGATCATGACTATCTGCAGTTCTTCTTCCCACTCGACATACTTCTTCTCTTTCCCTATCCAACTCATTTTCTCTTTGTCTAGGTCAATTTATAAGGTTTTGAAGAGTCGTTCTTTTTATTTCAGGATCCGGCCTAACTAATTCGGTTGGGTTATTGCAAGTCATGCACTAACCGGGCTCCCGAAAAAGCAACATGAACAAAGAAGAGCGTAATTTAAAGAAAACTAGATAAACAAAAATGAAACTACATAAATATAACAAAAAATAAAATACCTAGATTAATAAAAACAAAGTTTTCCTAATGTCCTATGTCCCTAGCAACGACGCTAAAAACTTAATAAGGCATCTTCTAACCTATAGGCTTTAGGCAAGTGCACCTATCATTCGATAGTACGAGCTCATAGAGTATTGAGTGTTGATCCCATAGAGACTACGAGTACTATTAATCACCCTCTTTTTATTATCTAACCGATAAAGTATAATGATAGTAAAAAATAAATAAAAAACAATAACTAAAGCGAGATCATAGAAATGCAACAAGAATAACAAAAATAGATAACCGAGCAATCACTTGTAAAGACAATACCCAAATATTGAATCCCCCTAAAACCTTCTATGTAATCACAATATCATTCATTCAATCATTTTTTATGTTCATCGAACCGTATGAATTCTTGAATTATGCTAACTACTTTCTCAAGTTAACTAACACCGAATCCCAAGTTGATTAATCAAAATCTCTTTCTAATTAACACCCCTAAGATCGCATTAATTCATTCTATGAATTCCCTTATTAGATTTGACTCTAATCCAAAAGATTTATGTCATCCTATCTCTAGGATTGCATGTAACTCTTTTCGGTTATGGTTGATCTAATCACACTTAGGATTTTTTCGATCTCATAGTATGAAATCATGTATGAATCAACACGCTAGCATATGCTAATTCAATTAAACAATAATTGCAACATAACTGAATCACAATGAAAACAAAGATTGAATTGAATAAAGATATTAAATCACATAGTCAATCTTAGGGTTCATTATATCTAGGTACAAACATAATCTAGTTCATAGTCAAAGTGAAGAACACATAAATTCTAAATAGAGAACAATAAATATTCGGGGAAAACATTATAACCCCTTTAATCTTAATGCAATCTCCTCGAGAATCATTGGGAATCCACTCTAACGGCATTATCTTACTCAAAACCCGAGCTTTTCTCAAGCCCTTTGGTTGTGTTTCGTCTCTCCAAGTTGACCCTAAACCCTAGGTTGCGTTTTAGCTTAAATATGAGCAAAAATACGCATTTCGTAAGGCACGACCCTAGTACACGATTGTGTTTACTGCTCGTGTAATGCAAAATTTCATTTTTCTCTAAGTTAGATAGTTACATGGCCTACTACATAGGTGTATCTTTGCCCATGTACGCCCGAGTCTCAAAATTTAGCTTTTTTTCGATTACACGACCTATTACACGATGTGTCTTCGATTGTGTAATTCATGGATCACTCAAAATTCACCATTGTTGCTCCATTCTTGCTTGGTTTCCATTTCTTTTCACCAAGATAACGTAACACGACTCGAGAACCACAATTTAAGCAAGGTAAGTGCCAAAATTATACCATTTATCACCAAAGACAATTACAATATAAGAAATTTGACACTAAAAATATGCATAAATGGGCACTTATCACTCATCTTCTCAAGATCTTCAACCTTCAATGTCTTACTACATAATCGTTTGAAAAAATCCCCTAACTCAACTATCGTGTTAGCAACATCCTTCGACAAGCATCCATGAATGCCAATAGGGAGTAATCATTGTAAAAGAACATAACAATCATGGCTCTTCAAACCTAATATCTTTCCATCACTTATATTCACACATCTAGCAATATTAGAAGCATACCCATCTGGAAACTTAACTGATTTTAGAAATTCATAAAATTTTTGTTTTTCCTCCTTAGATAATACATAACTTCGTTGCTTGTACCATATATCTACCATCACTTTTTTTCACCAAGTGCAACTCTTTTCTTATGTTCACGTCTTCCAAATCTTGTCTAGCCTTGAATGTATCTTTATTTTTCCCATCCAAACTAAACAATGTTCCTAAAATATTATCATAAATATTTTTCTCAATATGCACCACATGAAGATTATGTCTTAACTTATGTGTATGCCAATATGGCAACTAAAAAAGAATACTTTTTTTGATCCAATTCAACTCATCGAGAGTACGCTTCCTCTTTTTATTTTTGGGTATTTTCCAAAATTGACATCTTTAAGATTTTCTAATTGATGTAACACATCATCTCCCGATAACTCCATAGGAGCCAATCGATGTTCAATCTTCCCATCAAACTTTTTACGTTTTCTTTAACTATGGTCTTCCGGTAAAAACCTACGATGCCCTATGTAACCAATTTTACTTCTTAACTTATGGAAACAAGTTTGTTGGTTACATACAAGACAAGACATATAACCCTTTATACTCCATCCAAACAAATTACCATATGGAGGAAAATCATTTATTGTCCACATTATGGTAGCATGCATTTAGAAAAGTTATCCACTTGAAACATCATATGTTCTAACACCAACTTCTCATAATTCCTTTAACTCTTCAATTAAAGATTGCATGAATACATCAATATCCCTTCCTAGTGCATGAGGCCACGGAATTAATAGTGACATGATAAAAAATTTTTCTTTCATGCATTTCCATGGTGGTAAATTATACGACACAAGAATGGTTGGCCACATGCTATAAGAGCTACTCATTTTACCAAATGGATTGAAACCATCGATTGCTTAGGCCTAGTCGTACATTACGAGAATCATGGGAAAACCATGGAAACTTCCCATCAAAATCTTTCTATGGTACACCATCTACTAGTTGTCTTAGCACACTATCATCAACACGCTTCTCCTTATGCCACCTCATATCTATAGCTATATTGGGAGACAAAAATAGCCTTTGAATCCTAGGCATTAAAGAAAAATAGACTTGGCTCAATGGTTTGTTTCATCTCCCATATAATTCTTTCTAAAGTTTTCAAAGTCATTTAACATCTCATTAATTCCATCATCCTCTTCATCATCATTAGGTGTCTCTCTAATATGGAAGTCATCATTATGGTAACTAGAACTAGCATTAGA